AAATCCATGGAAAGTGATCCCAAAAGAGAACCAAAAAATCCTCCCCTTACGGGTAATCCTACGAGTTCAGTAAAGGCAATTTGTTTCATAATCTGTTACGAATAAGATACAATCCCACAATAAGTTGGGTGTCACTGACATGGGTCGACGGGAGAGGCAATCTAATAGCAAAATGATTCATATCTTCAAGATTCTTCTAGTGCAGTTATTTTCGTGACGTCATTGGTATTTTAGGAAGAAATGTTTTTGGGTGAAAATCAATTTTATTAACAGACTGCCTCGTTGGCCGAGTGGTCACAAGTGCGACTGCCGGGCAAGGGGTCTTGGGTTCGATTCCCGGGTCGGGCAAAGTTGTACTGGGTTTTTAAAAAAAATCTCAGTAGTAGCACGGACTCTGAAATTGTGCCCGGTATATGGCAATAGGCTCACCCCCTATTACATGGGACTCATAACATAAATAGTGAAAAGTGGGTGTTACATTGTACATTGGCATAATGTGCACCTCTGCCTACCCCTTCGGGGATAAAAGGCGTGATGTTATGTTATGTTATGATAGTTACAACCCTAAGTGGAGGGGATGAAAGGCCATGTTTAATTTGAAGCTTTATAAATACATTAATTACCGTAATTCGCGATTATCTCGTGGTATGCTGAAACTATTTTGATGCTTTTTTTGAAAAGAGTTTGTGACTCTTAGGAAGTTTTAGTATATTAATTAACCGACTTCAAAAAAATATGAAGTTGTAGTCAGTCATTTTTAAAGTAATTTATAGAATAATAATTATTAACCATTCTTTGATATCTAATGTAGTTCATACATTGTTACTTTTGTCTCTTCAATTTTATTAATATATAGCTGTTGCACGCTACTTCATCAGCGGAATATGAATTATAGACCATAACGCTATTTTTGTTTCAATTTTCCAAGATAAAAATAGCCTATGGTATTCCTTAGTAAACCAGCTACCTACCAATAATGGTCTCATCAAAATCGGTCCAGCGATTACCGAGATTTGCCAGTACAAACAGACAGACAGACAAAATTTTTAAAAGTGTTATTGTGGTATGTGTATCGTATGTATACGCTTAAGCATGTAGTGAAAAGCGTTAAGTTATTTTGATATTACAACAGACGCTCCAATTTTATTTATCTGCATAGAATAATGTTGTGTCAGTGTTGCATAAACGTCTCTTTTGTAAGAAAGATAGAAAGATTCTATTCTAGATTCTATTCTAAGAAAAACCATTTATTACTTCACGACACACAAAAAGAATACGCAGCGCAATATAATTATGCTGTTCTATTATAATTGACAGTCTTTTTGCGAGTTAAAAAATAAACTCACCTTTACCAGTCAATTGAAATCAAATCCTCAAACACATACAGATAACATTACCAACTACTTTATCAAGGAATTATGAACTAATGAAACAGAAAATTAGGGTTCAATTTTCGCCAAATCTTAATGTGTATCATCATTATCATCATCAGCAATTAAATGCCCACTGCTGAGCAAAGCCTCTTCTCACACGGAGAAGGTTTGAGCATTAATCACCACGCTTGCTCAATGCTGGTTAAGTTTAAGTTTAATGATTGTTTATTCACTCATAAAAAACATGGTTTACTTACAATGAGCTTAAATGACTATTTATAGCTATGTATACAGAGTCATGACCAAACGGTGTTAATAAATATTTTCAGATACATATTTTCTTAAGCTATTTTTGAACATGGCAATCGACTGACATTCCTTAATATTATTTGGCAAATTATTATACAATTGTGCTCCCTCATATGTTATACATTTTTTACCGTAATTTGTTTTGTGCCTTTGTAGTTTAATTTTGTTTGCATTTCTCAAGGAATGATAAAATGATCTCATAGTAAACTTGATCTCAAACTTATAATTCGTAATTATAATCCCGGTTTCCTCACGATGTTTTCCTTAATCGTTTGTCTATGTCGTCTAAATAATCTTAGAAAGTACATGCAACTCGGAAAAAGTCACATTGGTACTAGCCATTGATAGGTTTCGAACCGGCACCCTCATTCATGAGAAGTGGGCATCTTAAACCTCCGGGCCACCACGATATGTATCGACCGTGTATCATAACAAAATCTAATATCACATTTATTTAGGAATAGTTATACAAAATAATCAGTAAAGCAATATCTTGTTAAGGACCCCTGAAGGCGTATCTGTGTCGTACCCTCGTCTGACCAAAACCTTTATTTTGTTTGTACACAACCGTTTGTGACCTTCAACTCTCTGACCTTTCGAGGTCATAAAATCGTGGCTATCTTTTTGTTCCCTCTTTTAATTAAAGTGTTATATTGCATTTTGTCTCTTATTATAGTGAGAAAAGAAACGTTTTTTACATCCTATGTAGTATTTAACTTGTTGGAATCACTAATCAAATTATTATTATGAATGTCAAAGTTTCTTTATTATGATGTTTGTTTATCATCCGTCAACACGCGGAAACCACTGATCGAATTTTGATGAAGGCTGACTTAGGTGATAGGATATAACATGAGATAAACAGGAATCATATTATACGCGGACAAATTCGCGGGGGACAGATAGTATCATATAAAATTCACTTTTGAAGAAAACGTAAATCTTCATGTATAACTAAAGTATTTATGAGATACGTTGTGTTGAAATACATCGCAAGCGTTGCTTCATGTGGGTTTTCTGCAAGGCCGTGGCGGTGCTCCAACTGGTATAATTCCATCGAACTTACATTAAAATTACTTGTTTAAAATAATAATTTTGACTGCACGGTTGGTGCGGTGGCTGGGCAACCGGCTGCCGTGCAACGTTTCGCGGGTTCGATTCCCGCATGGAACAACATTTTGTGTGATCCACAAATTGTTGTTTCGGGTCTGGATGTCATTGTGTATGTGAACTTGTATTATGATATTGTGTAAACGCACCCACGACACAGGAGAAAATCATAATGTGGGGCAACGTTTTTTAAAAAAAATCGTTTTAAAACAGAAAATATAATTATAGGTGTAAAATTAGAAACACTGTTAAGCAACGGGCTCACACTTTATCCATGTAAAAAATAGTAAACAACATCGAAGCGTCCCAATTTCTTATATACAGAAAACGAAATCAATGTTACCCTAACCTTTCTCTTTTAGCCGATACTGAAACAAAATTCTAGTCGTTTTTAAAAAGAACTCTTTTGCAAAAACATGGCTTCCAGGTTTCAACAAAGTTCAGAAGAGGAAAAAAGAAAAAAATAAAAAAAGTTTGCTTGCTGTTAATTTTTTGTTCTCACTTCATTTGTCGGATGCTTTTTAAAGAAATTCTTCGTGCCGAGCAATTCCTTGTCAAATTAATGAACTGGTTTATTGTGCTGTCGTTGAAATGTTAAAATATTTTGTTTTCCAAACTATTTTATTACTTGGAGTTAAGGTTTTTGTTTTTATGACAGTTTTTCTGTTAAGTTTGTTCTAATTAATTAAATAAATAATTCTCCTTTTGAATTACGTGAACTATTTTTTGTTAAGAGATGAGCTAGAAAATCTTTCCCGTTTACCAGCACAAAGACCTTTTGAACTTCACAACGGCTGTTTTTTTATATTAGATGGGACTGACGTTTGACCACTTCCTCGCCTGATGGTAAGCGATGATGTGGCCTACGATGGAGCACGTCGACCCATAAGCAACCTATTCACTCGGACATTGAAGACAACCAGATTATACCCTTCAGGAAATACAGACTCTGGCAAAGAATTCCACTTCTTAGCAGTACGCACAAGGAAGCTTGATGCGAAGCGCTTCGTGCGTGTGGATGGGACCATGATCTACATCTACCATGAATATTTTTTTATTGTTTAATGTTTTAATATTTCATTTTTTAATTAATATGTCAGGGGAGGCATGGTTATGTTCCAGTTGCTCAGACATAATGAAGGCCAATATGAGTATCAAGTAAATAGGAAAAGCATTTAGAATTAATCACTGCGTTTCTTATAATCACAAGGTACAGTAACTTGGCACTAAGCGAAACGTAGGGCAGTTTCGTGACAACGTCTTCACTCAGTGGCGACTCGAACTAAAGTGAGCTTCGCCGAGTGCAACTCTGACGCCACGACTTTGCCTAAGCGCACCGGAAATCCGCTAGGTGACGCGCTTGCGTTCCATTTAGCGTCCGTACTCATGACCGTTTGATATTTGCTTTTATTCCAAAAACATAGTTTGATGTTAAAATTAATTTTCTGGCTTCATAATATTTTTAGCAACATTTTAATTTTTTTGATACCGGTGTTTCGGAAGTATTATTAGATGATCTTAAAGTGACAGGCATGTGTACAGCTATTCTTCTGTACGAGAATGAAGATGATGATGATGTTATTAATGGTGATGAAGTAAATGATTAAAAGGAAACCAAAACAGTGAATTATCATTTTTGTAATAAAGTAAATTATATATTTATACATGATAATATTGTAATACTTTACATAACTCAAAACATTTTCAATTCACAACGTCAGATCTGACTGTGACGTCGGAGCTACTTGTGACGTCAGACCTGAGAGTGACGCTGATGTCAGACTCCGAAAATACGTCAGGGCGGGGCGGCGTATACGTTCTGAAAAAAAAAATATTTGACAAATAATAGGATAGTTTACAAATTAATCTAATACCCGTTTTCATAAACCTCTCCTAAATTTATAATTATCTTTTCTTTTCTCATACTAAGAAGTCAATGTACACTTACTTGTTAAATGGCGTATTGTAAGCTATATTATCTAGTCTCCATGTCGTAAACTTCTTTGGCCGACCCTTCAGTTTATTGATTGGTCGGTGACTGTAACAAACAAAGAAGAATCTTAGAACTTGGCAACACGAATTAGCATCATTGTCAAATTACCTATAATTATTAATGGTGCAGCCTGACGCCCAATTTCCTTTCTGGATCCGATTTTAGGATACATTTTAAATTCAAATGGGACTTGAGACTACATACTCAGATCGAATTGACAATCAGTTTTCAGAACTGATGCCCAGTTAAACAACTGCCTATGTGCTCACCTCATTGGTCACCCTGTATATTGATAGGCATTAACATAAATTTATTGCTCACTCGTTTTAGTTTATAATGTCTTCTGAACCGGCTTAAAGATCTAATATTCAAGATGACATTGTTTAGTTTAACACTTATCCCAGACTTCGTCGGTTTCAAAGTCTTTATGGTCTTCAACGCATTTACGAGTTTATCACCACTCAAAGACGATCGGACGCGGTGAAGACTTGTAACTCTCGTTTGGAATGGTGAAACCGTGGGAATGGATTTCCACCGAGATCTGAGAGTAAAAGAAAATATATTTGAATTAGGTGTTCATCATTCCAAACAAGATAATGCGCTGAAGGCACAAAGCGAAGTAGATATTCCGAAATGGACGTGGAAGGACAAAAAGACGATTAAAAATAATATAAAGAGATTGTGTGCAGAATGATAATATAACTTAGGAGAAAGGAGATGGCTGTATAAAGACAGGAGAGTGCCAACTCCAAGTAACCTGGGATAAGGTCATTAAAAAGAACACAGCCAGAAAAGTGAATATCAAATTAGATAATTGGAGAAATTTTGTCAAAGATCAGAGAACATTCTGCACTTATGACAAGTAAGCGCTATGGAGACGGCTGTATAAATCAAGTTCCTTTTTATTTGTTCCTATAACTATTCGATAAATAATACAAACTTGCTGAACTTGCTCCTCTTTATTTTTGGTGGCTTGTATCGCCGCTTCCCACCAAAGGCGGTGAATTTTCTCTTTCTGGAAAAGAAAATTTTATCACGTAATGTATTTTTATACATTAAGTACGTAACAACTTGAATTGGTAATACACTGGCTTTGTCTGTCGAAGGATAGGTACCATAGGTAGCCAACATAAAGTGTTCTAGAGGAACTAAATTATCGTAATAAGCCTTACAGTATGATTGACCGAAAACTTAAAGAAGGAGGTCGAAGGTGATCTTTATGGGCAAAGCACATCACGAGAGTGCCTATCATCACTATTGTACCTTAGTTTGACACTTATAAAACAGTGTTCAGATATCAGTCTATATCATGATATAATTATTATTATTTTTTTTTATTTAAGTTTTACACAATTGCATAAGGAAGACTTAATGCTAACAGCATTCTCTGCTAGTCATACTTTGGGTAGTGCAGAAATGTATGTGGTAGGTGGTAGTGGTTATTATATTACTCCAACAAAACTGGACAAGATCCAAGCGGTCACCGGTGACCGATCTCCACTTACACCATTATAGACGTTTTTTAAGACGTTTAGCGACTACTTTTATATAAACAAACTAGCAAACCCGACGAACTCCGTTTCGTCACCAGATGGATCATTTTATGTAACATTTCGTTTGGTGATTTAAAGATGAAGAAAAAGCTTTTCCTGAATTTTCTCTGCTATAAACCTCAAGGAGTTCGAGACCTTTCCAACGAATACAAAGCCGTGGAAATCGGTTGCTGCATTCTGGAGTTATAGAGTCAGGAAGGAAAACTCGACTTATTTTTATATAGTAGATGTTGTGGATTTTTCATAATCGAACATTTACGAATTAACTCGTCGAGTACCGTCATTATAGACACAATTATAGAACAATAAGTTGCGGTCACCGGTGACCGCTTGGTGTTTGACAGTTTAATCCATTTTCACCGTCGAATCTAACATTTCCCAATCCCCTATCGTACACGTCATACCCACTAGACCAAACGCGACTAGACAATTTGAACTAACAATATTTGAAACACAAGTTTAATCTAATTCATTCCATCCCTTAATTAGTTTTTACACGTGTCCAATTAAACGATGAAGTAATTTTACTACGAAGATTAATTTGAGTGAAAATTCAAAACTATTTAAATATTCTAAATAGAAATTTTCCCTTTAAATCCAAATGCAAATAATTCAAGGTCGACCCTAACTGGAATTGGATTATAATCAGGATTATGTTTAAATGTTACGTTTGAATATAAATTGACTGTCTAGCTAGGGTATGTAGATTAAAACAAAACGTTGCTCTACACTAGTCTTTTTTCCTGTGTCATAGGTGCGTTTACAAATATACAAGTTCGCATACACATGACACACCCAGAACAATAATCTGTGGATCAAAAGGAGTTGTTCCGTGCGGGAATCGAACCCGCGACACGTTGCATGGCAGCCAATAGCCAAACCATAGCGCCAACCGTGCAGTCAGAATGACTTGTTAAGCTCTTGGAATGAGATCTTGAGTTCACTTCTCAGTTTAAAGCATGGAATCTTTCAGAATATTTTCAGTTTGGAGTGAGGTTATCGAGGCCCAATTACCACCTCCCCACCCATAGGTGTTCTATACATTCAGTTCTTTCACATTACAATCATTAAACACAATTAATCTTACTTTTGTGGGTAATGTATAGTAACTCCCGCTGGTGTGATCTTCTTCTTACAGATTCCTTCATTGCCGCATGCACATCCCTTAGGTGGCAAGTATTGGGGGATAGGCACTACTCTGTAAGGTAAACATTAATAATAGCTTTCACCAGTGGCTCTGCCTGTGTTTCGTGGAATGAAAAGTATACCTACTGTTTTAAATTTCATCCAGATCCTTTTACCCAAGCAGGGTAGGAAATATACACACAAAATTTCCCATTCATAATATTAGTAAGATTTATAATCATTCATTTATATCTTGAGCTCTTTTTCCAATGAATTTAATCAGCTTATTTTTAACATTGATCTTAATATACGTAGTATTTTACCCGAAATTTTATTCTACCATCTACTACTAAGCCATACTCCGGCACGAATGGGCCTGCTCGACCGGAGTCATACCGCACGACCTCACAGGAAACCGACGAGCAACAACGCGAGCGTTGTATTTCGTCATGTGATCAAACATCAAACTCCCCAATTCTTGAATCACCAACAATCCTCAAATTCATTATTCCCAAAAGGCCGGTAACGCACTTTTAATGCCTCTGGTGTTTCAGGTGTCCATGGGCGACGCCGATTGCTTATTATCAAGTGATCCGTCTGCTTGTTTATCCCATAAAAAAACCATTACCATTATCATAATCGTCATCCTATTATTGTGGTCATAATAAAACAAAAAGTATTTTGACTCACTCTTTCTTTTTGAAAACTTTCCATTTTGGTTTTTCTGTTACCACGTAACGTACATTGGACAAACTGCAACAATAAAACAAAATTAAATATCTCAAATAATGATAATAAATAAAAATGGTCCGAAAAATTCATGATACATTGTCTTAGTTCAGGCACCAAACCTAAGTAATAATATTCGCCAACTATGTTTAAAATTATTAAAACAACAAGAACGTCACAAGCGATATTAAGTTTGAAACATAAAAGACACGATGACAAAGAAAAACTCTGCAAAGAGTCAAATAAAAAACGAAAATAATAAAGGAAGAGGTACCTAATGAAAAACTTTACTGAAAGAAGTGACTGTGATGAAAATATTGCTATATTAATTTACAACAAGTTTTAGATGATTATACAGGCTGCTTGATCTACACAATAATAATACATCCTTTAAAATATCCCGGAAAAGTAAAGCTAAAGACGTATTTTATTGATATAAAAACTGCGGTTCGGTTTCCCTGGGATTCCATCATCAGATCCTGGCTTGATGAAAATGGGACCGTTACGGGAGTGTATCTTCAAACAAAACAAAAATTTCACAAACAGCAGAGTAATCGATGAAGAAACAACTGAAAAAAGGGACAATCATACGAACACCACGTAGGGTGCCCAAAAGACTGGCAGCATTGCCACGTTGAATGGCAATGCTTAACCTTTGCCCAAGGTAGTAGCCAGCCCTTCGATCACTTTGTAATTAAAATTTTCTTTATATTATGCTTACCTGGTATTGCTAGTAGCTTCATCCACTTTCCTTTTAGCCCTAAACTCTTTACTGAGCAACAAACCCATTTTCGACCAAAATTTATTTTCTTTTCTAAACGATTTCTTGTTTATTCCACTCTTATTTCTTTTACACTCCTTAATTTATTATCTTAGGCAATTCACGTGATATCTTCGAATCCATTGGATGCATTTTGCTGAGTTTTTAATTTTTATAATTTATTCATTTCATGTTTTGCAATTGCGTTATGAACGATTGACATTGATTTGACAGTCTTTGTCAGTAACATTTTTTTCATAAACTTTTGTGTGACAAATATATTGATGACAGATTTTCTATAAAGAGGAATAGTGAACAGAGGTATAATTTGGAGTTATAATAATAATTAATAATCGAAATGATTGACTAAGATATGATCTAAGAAATAAACAAGACGAAAAATAATATTTTGCAGCAGCACCTTTGTAAGTCCAATGTTAAATTATCATGTAACAATAAACAGTGATTTCTAACATACAAATTACAAACTGGTTAACGCAATACGTTTCACAAAATATTGCCAACCAATATTAAACTCCAAAACCTATTCAATTACTCCTCTCAAAACCTCCCATTGACAGAATAAAGCCTACAATTCATCATCGATTCCTTTCTTTACACAACCCTCCACGTTTTGGACAATACATCCATAATTTCATCCGAAAAACTTAAACAGCCTTGACATTTAGACCCTATAAGATTCCATTTGAGAAGAAACTTCCATATTTATACAGTCCAATGTTCCCATTGATCTCCCAAAAACAACCTGGGCCTAAACAAACAAGCATAACTTTGAGAAAACTTCTAACAAAGCGCTTGGGTTCGCAACTTGTAAGGATTTTATTCTTTCGAAATGTGTGTGGCTTAGCGACAGAGTTTTAAAAGGATTCCGTGTGGTGGTGAATTTATTGATGTTTTTTTCGGGTTTAGTTCTAAATTTGATCCAATTTCTTATAACATTACGTTCCATCTAGTAGGTTTTTCAATCTTTAAAGCATTTAAACATTTTCACAATAAATTTGATAAGCACAGGATATGTCTACTAGATTCGACTGCTTTCCATCACTGTCCAATGCCCAATTACCCCCCCCCCCCTTTCCCAATCCCTAAATCCCCAATAATCCTTAAATTCCTAGTTCCAAAAGGCTGGTAACGCACTTGTAACGCTTCTGGTGTTCCAGGTGTCCATGGGCGACGCCGATTGCTTACCATGAGGTGATCCGTCTGCTCGTTGACCGGCTTATCCCATAAAAAAAACCGTCCAAACTGCGTTGACAAATCGAACAAAGAAAATAAAATGCAAACGAGTATCATCATAAAATATTATACTGCTAAGAATTTGAAAAGAGATTTAGATCCAAGATGCTCAATTTGCTTCAAGAAGATGGCGCTAGCAACGAATTGTGCCATCCGGACAGGACAATGTCTATAAAGCTCTCAACTTCATAAACATTTTTATAACCCCTTAACGGTATTTCAATACACATAATAGTACATTAGTTGCGCATTCACCTTTCAAAGGATATCCTTATCACTTTGCATACAAAATGGCCCAAACCTTTGCAGATGGGGCATATGTTTATACATCAGGAAATATAATATTTTGTTGATATTTTATTGAGTTTTCTGTTAGAAAAAAGGCTTGTTTCCTGTGTATTGGTGTTGGTTTAAGAAAAGGTGTGAAGGTGTGACGATTCACAGGTTTTGGAGGGTATCAAGTTACTTGGATCTGGTGGTTTTACAATGGTAGTATAATGTCTCAAGGTTAGGAGAAGCTGCAATTGCATCTCTATCATTTAAAAAAATGTAGGAATAATAAATAAAACTATATTTAAGCGCGACTTAAAATTTAGTAGCATTTCAGTATTCAGTCATTAGATTTCCAGATTCATATTATGGAGCAAAGTCTTTAGCCCGGAAAATAAAATTCCCTTCTACATTCGCATTATGGCTATATACAAATTTTGTAAAACTAGCTTCTATTACTTTTAATAATAAGAACGTAATTCCTACTTTGTTTTTCTTACTTACTTTTTACTTTTTGATTAATTGCTAAAAAGTATGGTTACTTTGCAGTATGATCCTATTGAACCTCTTAAACCGTATCCCTATTCCCACTTAGGCACAACTTAAAGATGCGATTATCATATAAAGCCTAATATTACTGGAAAAACAATACACTTAAGAACAATCGATCGGACCGAGGTTACTTGAAGCGCCTATTGATTCGTTCCTGTTGGCACTTGTCACCTTACGAGTATGATCGATTGCTACATATGAGACACCTGGTGCTTGTGGGATACAGTATAAGCGATGGCGTGTTATGACAAAAAAGTTTTACTATGTTTCATGGTAGTTTTCGAGCTGCGTTCTCCAATCTGAGTGCACGGTTGGTGCGGTGGCTGGGCAACCAGCTGTGTCGTGGGTTCGATTCTCGCACGGAACAACACTTTGTGTGATCCACAAATTGTTGTTACGGATCTGGGTGTCATTGTGTATGTGATCTTGTATGTTTATAAATGCACCCACGACACAGGACAAAATCCTAATGTGGGGCAATGTTTTTAAAAGAAAAAAAAAATCTTCTTGCCATGAAGATTATGAGAAACTCTCTACAGAAGATGATATCCAGCAATGTACTCCAAGTAGGGTTGATGCCCGTCGCGGTCTGTGGATGCCCTTGTGGGTTTCCGGAGCTCCAGCTCGATGCTCGAGTAGGAACAGGGTGGTTTTTAGTCAATAAGATTCGGACACTCTCATTTCGCTCGAGGCGGTAGAAGCCATTTGATAAATTTTCCTCCTTCAGAAAAAAAAAGATCAGCTTTGAACAACTGAGGGATATCATTCATGATGATGATAGAGTTTGTTAGTGCGATGATAAGAATATTTTTATAGCTACAGTGCATATAAAAGTACTAATTACTTATAATTGTGTTTGAAACACCAAATCTATCATAGTATAAAGGTTAACTGCACACTTTAACATTTTTTTTTTATATCAAATATTTTTGTGTCATACCTAATACAAACATTATCGTCAACGTTTACAACAAATATAATATATTTTCTGTGCCAATCACAATTTACAGCGATAATAACATCGTGAACGATCCATCACAAAACCGATGGAAAATTACACAAGAAATTTTTCAACGTCTCACACACTTTTGTTATATTGAAAAGTTACTTTTATGTTTAGGTCGTTAAAATTGAAATTAATTTGTCTAAGGGATATTTTAGTTTCATAGTTAACTATTACTTTTTAGTTAATTGACTTTAGATTGAAACTAAATGTAATAATAACTCCACAATTATGATACCTTACCGCCATACTCAGAATCATTACTTAACCCTTAAGGTTAAGTGTGGGAGAGCCATGCTTCGGCACGAATGGGTCGGCTCGACCGGAGTGATACCACGGCCTCACAGACAATAGACGTAAAACAACGCTCGCGTTGTATTTCGTCGTGTGTGTGAGGTTACCGAAAGACCAATGGGGCTTGGGGAAAGGGGGCCTTACCCAATCTCGTCAATCCCTGAATCCCCTACAATCCTAAAAGGCCGGAACGCCTCTGGTATTCCAGGTGTCCATGGGCGACGTCGATTGCTTACCATCAGGTGATCCGTCTGCTCGTTTACCGGCTTATTCCATAAAAAAAACTATGCTTTTGCAATGGTTTTTGTAACAAAATCGTTACAAAGGAATAGTTTAAGTTATCATCAAATATCTCTGAGTACGGCAATTAGACTATTCGGAGGACCTTCCCTTTACCAAATAGGAATCATCGCATCCTGTTCCTTAGAATAATGTTTTCATAATCGCTGCTTATGTCAGTACAGATACCAATATCCAAAGACGTTCAAAAAAAGCGAACAAGTCTCTTGAAACAGCGACTGTGGCACCTGGCTACTATTTTTTTTTTAAGGGGGGATAATCATCGAATGACTGCTCTCGCTTGGGTGAGGTGGGAGGGAGTGTCAGACTCTCACTGACTAAAAACCACCCCGTTCCTTCTCCTGCACGTCGAGCCGGAGCCCCGGTTACCCGTTAGGTTCTCCGCGACTCCGAATCGGCACCTGGCTACTATAGTGACACGCAGAATATACAAACATAGACACGAAGGATAAAAGAGCAAGGAATGGAGTTTCTTGCTCGTTCTTCTCCACTCGAAACTACATTTTGGAACGAGCACCTAGCATCACCTACCTTTACTGACAAACTGACTGACAGACTATTATTTATTTTGTATTTGTTGACGTTTCAAAAGTACCAAATAATGGTTTAATTAAACTGTCAAACACCGCGAGGACACCGGTGACCGCAACCTATTGTTCTTTAATTGTGTCTATAATGACGGTACTCGAGTTAAACTAAATGCTTTGGCATTGACTTTTGAAGGACATTCTGTTATTTTCTTAAGTCTGGTAACTAAGTCTGGTAGGTTTTTTTTTTAAACGTTGCCCCAAACTAGGATTTTCTCCTGTGTCGTGGGTGCGTTTACAAACATACAAGTTCACATGCACAATGACACCCAGACCCGAAACAACAATTTGTGGATCACACAAAGTGTTGTTCCGTGCGGAAATCGAACCCGCGACACGTTGCACGGCAGCCGGTTACCCAGCCACCGCACCAACCGTGCAGTCAAAAATTATTGGTATAGATGGCGCTGTGTGTATTGGTATATGTCACGTAGGCTACTTTTTATCCTTTTGTGACGCGAGCGGTTCCGCGGGTAAAAGCTGGTGCACATATAAATAACCTCACTGACTGCTTCATTGGCTGAGTGGTCGCAAGTGCGACTCGGCAAGAGGTCTCGGGTTGGATTCCCGGGTCGGGGAAAGTACCTAGTACTGGGTTTAAAAAACCTCAGTAGTAGCACGGAGTTTGGAAATGTGCCCGGTATATAGCAATAGGCTCACCCCCTATTACATGGAACTCATAACATGAACAGTGAAAAGTGGGTGTTACATTGTATAGTGGCATTAAGTACCGTAATGTGGACCTCTGCCTACCCCTTCGGGGGTAAAAGGCGTGATGTTATGTTTTATAAATAACCCACTGACATTTTGGTGCTTCTATCATTTTTAAGTGACGTTATGTTCGCCTTTTGTCAAAGTTCTTGCCAATATCTATACTTGGAAACGAACTCAACGGTACAGCAAATACAGATTCCATCGATGCTTCATTTAAAAATTT